GCCCAAATCAGCCAGCGACTCTTCGAACGGCCTGTTGTAATATAGTCATAAAGTTTGCCTATCATTTCCCTTGCAAACTCACTTCAACTTCGCTTCGTATCAAAGTCCACAACTTCCGCTCTCCCCCACCGAACACTCGCGCTCTCCGCACGGCCCATCAAAAAAGCAAATCCCTTCTCTGACGTTGAGAAAACGAAATTTTTGCCGCTTCCGTCGTACCGCGCCCGTTTGCGAGTAATACCTCCGCTTCCCCCGCCGTGGAAATGGGATTTACAGAGACGGCGCGGAATGAAGTGCAAGGACTTTCGGATAAAGAAAAAAAAACGTTTTTTGGCTTAGGGTTCGTTTTGTTTTTGTAGTCTGTCGTGGCGTCAACACGCACTTTTCCCGGATTTTTTTGGAAATTGTAGAGATTTTTTTGTCTACGATAATATAAATTTTTGCTAGAAAAGCCAGCTAATGGTCTGTGTAGTCCGTGAAAAATCCGTTGACACCAAAAAATTCTGTTTGTCATCACTTTCACCTAGTACAATATATCGTATATGGAAAAAAATGGATTTTTTGCAAATGCTCGAAATTTTTTGCCTATGACAATATAAGTTTTTGCTAGAAAAGCCAGCTAATGGTCTGTGTAGTCCGTGACAAATCCTTTGATATAAAAAAAAAACTTTGTTTGTCATCGCTTTCACCTAGTACAATATATCGTATACGGCAAAAAATGGATTTTTTGCAAATTCTCCAGATTTTTTGTCTACAACAATGTAGCTAATGCGCTCTGTAGCCCTCTAAAGATCTCTGTGCAAGTTATAAATACTTATGACATCAAAAAAATGGTTTTATATCTCTTTTACCTACTATAATATATCGTTTATGTCATCAAATCGTTTTTTTTGTAAATTCTCCAAATTTTCTGTCTATGACAATATATCTAAAGCCCTCTGTAGCCCTCTAAAGATCTCTGTGCAAGTTGTAAATACTTATGACATCAAAAAAATTCCGTTTGTCATCACTTTTTCCTAGTATAATATATCGTTTACGGGAAAAAAATGATTTATCAAAAATGTCCAAAACGGGCAATCCACTCGCTTCTTGGAAATTCATAGCCGAACTGAATCGATCGGAAGCAATTTGGTGCAAAGAGAAGCCGTCCGGCTCCATTCTTTCGGCCCGTTCTCTCGGGCCCATTATGCGGTGCGGGTTCGGCCGGATTGACACATAAATTTACTTTATGGTTCAGTGTTTTCACAACCGCATTCGGATGCGTCTGGATGCGTAAAGGGGCAGGGAGTAGATTACAGAGTGTTTGGGTGTCTGTAATGGGCTGTGTTATATAAAGTAGATATATAAAGAGAAAAGCGCTACGATTACATGTTTGGATGTTGTTATTTGGGGGAGGGTGTTGTGACAGTTGTAGTTTTGCGCGAAAAATGTCTTTGTGTGTAAAATAGAGGCTGGTATCAGTCTGTCGGGAAAATAATGTGGATTTGTCGTGCCTTGTATATAATTCCTCATCATAGCTTTTCAAGGGCCAGCTACGGCTCGAGATTTGGTGCAGGGAGGCAAGGAATCTTGCTGCGATAAATCCACATTATTTTCCCGACAGATTGATAAGACATGTGAAAGACTCCGACAAAGATTTTTATGTAGAAATTTGACAAAAATATGCTCAAAAAATCAGTTTTTTAAACTGGCAAATATATGCCCAAAATATTTTTTATATAAATTTTACACTAAAAAGTTTCATCTTGTGTCTACCGTAGAGGGTAATCTTTCCACAAAAAATCAATTTTTCCGCTTTAAACAGTCATAGATACGGCCAAAAGACCTTTTCCTCTATCTGGCCGTTCTCCGCGTTTCGTGTACTCTCCCGGCGGCACAGAAATACTTTTTTATAAGGCATTCGCAAGACTCCTAGCTCGCGCTTTGCAGAAACAAGCGGCATTTTTTGGACGAAAGTCCGCAAAATGTTTTCTCTCTGACCGTTCTCCCCGTTTCGAGTACTCTCTCGGCCGCAAAGATCGTTGAATATCTCGGCTGGAAAGCGCGAGCTGAAGCTTTCATTCTTCGCCTTCTATGACGAGACAAATTTTGCAGCAAAACATGCCATTATTTTCCCGACAAATTGATAATATTATATTATATCGTCTTGTCTTGTTTTTGCTCCCAAAAACAGAGATCCTCAAGTTAAATCCGCTTCATCGCGAAATCGTATCTTCATCTATTCATTATAATTCCCAATGATTATATTTTTTTTGCATCCACCCTCACCTACCATCTTGCCCTAATCCGCAAATCCTTTCCCCCCGCTGTAGCCATCATCCGAATTAGTCCGCCGCTAATTGTCAATTTGCATTCGAGTAAACATTTCTGTTACAATTCCCCCTCGTCATTTCCCCCATTTTTTTCTCCCCAATTAACAGATGATTTTTTTCGGCGGAGACAGTTTTATGATCGCTGACTGGAAAACCGGGAAAACATATGGCCGGAGGGAGACGTCAGGAAGTCTCGTGGGCCCAGCCTCTTCGGCCTATTACTCATAATGAGTGATTAATTTTGAGAGATTATGCTTTCTGTTTGGGTTCGAGGTTTTTGGGAGGGGAAGTATGTAATAATATTTTTTGAGGCGATAAATTTACAGTGAGGGACCGGATCCAGTGGCAAAAAACGTCTCCAAACCCTTCCCTACTCTAAGCTAAAAAACCCCGCTTTGAAGAGCCCGCCTTGAAGGAAAGGGCGCGCTTTTTAAAACGGAGTTTTTTTAGCTTAGAGAAGGGAAGGGTTTGGAGACGTTTTGGTCCCTTCCGGGATGCAAAGTGGGACGCTTTTTGCCACTGGATCCGGTCCCTCACTGTACACATAGTACCGGGATACAATGCCCCGAAAAATCCGCAAAATCCGCAAGTTTTGTCATCGAAAACAATCGCGAAGAAACGCGCTTTGCACAATGCGTTTTGGCGATATTTTTTTTAAAAAAATTTCAAGGTTTCTTTGCCGCGAGTTGTTCTATAAGGCCCTTAGGGGTAACAAAGATTGACTTTAAATATCAAACTTGAACCTTCCAGAGGAAGGCTTCCTAGATCGACGCTCCGATTTTGATGAAATTTGCCACAAATTTATGATGATTTTTCCTGATCTCTAGCTCGTTATTTGCCAAAATTTTTAGGTCAAAGGTCAGCAAAAAATATGAATTTCTGTTTTGCGAATTTTCTTACGAAAAATGTCACATTTATTACTATCATTAAGGTAAGGTTTCCACAAAAAAATCAATTTTTTTCGACCGAAAGTGGCAAAGGTATGGCCATTTTAGGGTTTTCCAAACATATTCGGTTAAATTGAAAAAAAAAACAATAATCTTACACTCATTTTTTGGTGTTTTCTCTGCGTAAATGGGATGCCATGTTTACTTAAAATTATTTTAACGTCAAAAACATGTTTTTTTACACTTTTACTCTTTTTCATTTCAAATAATCTTCTTATTAGGCATTTTCAGAAAGTGCACGGTCATTCTTTCGCTTTCGCACAGTGCATTTCGAACTTTTTCCTACGGCTATCGCTTACGCACTGTGCATTTTTTCGCACCGTGCAATCCAGCCTAAAAACGAGCCGTTTGCACTGTGCAGACATTTTTTTGCTTTCGCACAGTGCATTTTGAACCTTTTCCCACGATTGTCGCTGCATTTTTTTCGCACCGTGCAAGCCTAAAAAACACCCGTATGCACTGTGCAGACATTTTTTGGCGTTCACAGTGCATTTTGAACTTTTTCCCACGCCTGTCGCCAACGCACAGTGCACTCTTCCCTTTCCGCACCGTGCGTCAAGAAAAGCCGTTTGCACTTGCAAAAAATTTTTTTGCTCTTGCGCAGTACTTTTTGAACCTTTTCCCACGCTTGTCGCCAACGCACAGTGCATTCTTCTCCTTTCGCACCGTGCAAACGTCAAAAAAGAAAGCCGTGCGGATTTTCGAACAGTATGTCGCTGCGATATTTCAATCGCACAGTGCGGAGTCCAGAAAACAAAAAAGTGCACGGTGCAAAAGGGTTGTTTTTTGTGCACGGTGCGGGCCGTGACGACTGTCCACGCACTTTATGAAAATACAATACATATAATATAAGACTTCAAATTACTTCGCGTTTTCAATTTTTTCACTTGACTCTAACCGAATTCGGATGTTCCGTTCGTGCTCTGTTCACCTCCTAAATCCCCAAATTACACTTGAAAATTTCCAGAGATTCCCATTCAAAGTTCAGCGGCGGCGGAACGTCATCCCCGCCCTAACCGAATTTCCGTCCTCGCAACTTTCGCGTTTCTGACGCGGCCCCCGAAAGTGTTTTGCATACCCATTCGAGGTTTGGTGATTTCTGGGTCCGAAATAGACGGTGGTTTCCGGGTGAAGGGGAATTTCGGGGTGACGCGGCCGATTGGTTCACGGAAATTGGCAAGATCGCAATGCAAAAAGGGAGGATTTGCATAGCGATCGAGGTCAAGCCAACGTACCATCGGTCTGTCGGGAAAATAAACAGTGTCGCAATCGTGTCGCTGAAGTAAAAAGCAATTTGATTTTGTCGCGACACAATTCATTTTTTCGGCAGCGATGCGATTTTTGATGCGACAGAGTGCTCATTATTTCCCCGACTGACTGATAGTAATACTTATTTTCATAAAGTGCGAATTTCCATCGCTGTTTTCAACATCTGCTCTATCGAAGAGCCTTTAAAAAATCCAACATTTCTTGGTGATTTTCAAACGAAGTAGTCAGAAATTTCTCGGTGATTTTCAATCAAAAAACACTGGTTTTCGGTGTAGGAATGCCCCTACTTCAGAAGGTCGTAGCGACCTCTTTTTGCATCTTAAAATTTCGTTATTTCGTGGAAAAAAATTAATGTCGTTTTTAAACGACATTTTAAAAAAATACGTATTCCAAAAAAGAAGTCGTTGCGCCGTCTCCGCCCGAAATTACAGCCTCCGAATTTCCTTCACGTTTTTTGTAAGACCCTGTATATTCACCATGAGGAAGGATGATGATTATTGACCCGAAGACTGACCTCCAGTGTGGGTAGGGGAGTGTAGATGAAGGCTGCGGGGTGGAAGTTGGCTGGACTGGAGTTTGCAGGCACATTGGGACCATATTTGGCATGTTCTCCTTGATCTTCGCCGGCTTCCACATTGACATATTTTGCACTGTGCGTTTTTTCGCTTTTGCACAGTGCAAAATCTGAAATGCACGGTGCAAAATAGAGGTTTTTGCACGGCGCGGACTCGCGACCAAATGTCTACACACCTTTAAAAAAAAGAGACTCTCAGCTCGCGCTTTGCAGAAACCATCAAAATTTATAAATCGAAAATCTTCAAAAATACAAAAATTTCTTAAAGTTTTTGTTATTTTTGTTGCTCTCCAATGATTTTCCAGCCACGTGTGGCCCAAAAAAAAAACAAAAAAAAACACCCATCGTAATGTTCCATTGCGGATTTTAAAGCCCCTTGACTTGTTGTGTCAACAAACGGCCGAAGAAACCAGATTCCCGCAACAGAGGGTGTATTGACATCCCACTTTTTTTGACCTTACAAGATTTCGCTTCCGACTTTGAAATCCCAAAAAGAAGCTGTCTAAAGTACGTCGCCATTGTGTGGCGACGACAAAAAACGCATTCAAAGTGCGTCTCGTGCGACTTTGGGTTCGATAAAGGCATAAATTTAGATTAATTCCTTGTCCTACTCGCGTCCCAATGTTCGGACAATTCGCACTGTACGTTTTCTGCGGATTTTCGCACGCACCGCGGTGATTTAGCGCTTTTGCACTAGGGATACAGTGCTTGTGTCGCATTGCCCAATTTTTGCGCGAGTTCGGCGACAGAATTATCGGGCCTTCAGAATAAGTCGTTCCAGAAAGTGCGTAGATTTTTTCCGGCCTTTTTTCGCACCACACAATGCAAGTTTTCTGTTCCACGCGCGACGTGAGCGTTTACGAAACGTTTTCCCTGTGCAATTTCATTTCGCACGCCGAAAATTCGCTCCGGGGCCAATGCGCAAAGTTTGCTGAAAGTTAGCTGAAAATGGTAGGGCGCAGCTCGGAAAACTGGCACGGGCGCGGCTCGCGTCTCGGGGGCAGCTCGGAAAACAAGCTTTCGCAGCTCACCGAAGCTAAGTTTCGGCTTTTTTTCGAGCTGCGCACAAGACGCGAGCTGCGCCCGTGCAAACTCTCCGAGCTGCGCCCTATGATTTCCAGCAAACTTTCAGATAGCGCATTGGCCCCCGGTTCCGTTGAGAAAACCTTGTGTCGCAGCGATATTGGACTTGCACGATGCAAAAGATCAAATGCACGCCGCAAAACGGGTTTTTTGTGCACGGTGCGGCTTACGACAAAAACTCTACGCACTTTCTGGAACGACTAGTATTACATTTTTGTGCAAAACCGCAGCGGCGCAGATGAGAAAAGCTTACGTCGCAGCGTTGACCAAAAAAAGGTCAATGCACGGTGCAAAATGTCGCGGGCTTTTATGCAGAGTGCGCGTCGCGATAAATGTCCAGGCACTTTGTGAAAATCTAATAGCCAAGTAGTGGAACTTTCATAAAGTGCGTAGACTTCTCGTTACGGGACAAAACGCACGCTGCAAACACCAATTCGCATAACAAAAAGTTTATGCACTTTTGAAGACGCCTAAATAGTATCAGTCTGTCGAGAAAATAATGGGTACCCTGCCGCTTCGAAAATCGCATCGCCGTCGGGAAAATGAGTTGCGTCGCGGCAAAGTCAACTTGCTTTTCAGTCGGCGCAGCGACATTGTGTTCATTATTTTCCCGACAGACTGACATCTTCCGGTCTGTGCGCTGTCGCTTAGGTAGACGAGAGTTTTCTTCGTCCCGCCGCCGCGACGTGGGAGCTAATTTAAAATAATCCGGTGCTTGAGCCCGCGGGGCGCCTGAAGGAATCCTTGTTGTTGTTTTTCCGACCCATCCGTCAAAGTCCAGGCCTAGGTTAAAGGACTCCAAGTTTGGGGCATGGAATCCATCTTATTGTAGTCGTTGGGTCTTTGGAAATTGGAAAATAAAATATGTACAGAGATGGTTGGGGCGAGACTTGTAGCAAACGCTTTGTGGTCGCTGGATTTGTATTTTGAGGCAGAAAAGTTTGAAGCTAGAAGTGATTTTTTGAGTGGAATTTTGTGACTAACGAGGAAAGTACTTCTACGGGGCATGGAGTTACAGGTCGAGTCATATATCAAAAAAATCGTAAAAGTTTTCTGATTCAGAATATGTAAAAGTTAGCTGCCTAATTTTGGTTTGTCATGGTGAAAAAATCCTCAGAACTTTTTTCGCAACACCACACAAATTCCTCTCTTTTATATTGGAACTACTAATTAAGGTGTTGTATTAATCAAATTTGATATTTTAAGGCTTGTCAAGATGCCAGCGTTCAATTTGGCTCAAAATAAAGCTTTTGATTTGGGAAAAACTTTGTCAAAAAAGCATTTGCGTGGAAACTTCTGAGGATTTTTTCACCCTTACAAACCCAAATTAGGCAGCTAAGGTTTACATATTCTGAATCAGAAAAATTTTGCGATTTTTTTGATATATCAGTCTGTCGGGAAAATAACGGCGGATCGTCGCGCCTCGGAATCGCCCCTCATCGCTTTGCGACTGCAAGCCGCGACTGGGGATTTCGTGCGCGATAGCGGCGAGGCGAGACATTTTGATGCGATGATCCGCCGTTATTTTTCCGACAGACTGATATGACTCGACCTGTAACCCCATATCCCACAGAAGTACTTTTCTTGTAAAATACGAAAAAAATGGTGATTTACTGTGGTGAATGGGTTCAATTTTCCTAAAAAGGTCACTTGGCTTCCAAAAAAATCTGGCTAAAAAAAAATGACGATTATGACATCGCCATTGACTAAAAAATCACATTTTGTTAAGCTTCCAGATGCGACGCTTATATTTTTTTAAATTTTGTACACGTATCATGAATAGTCCATACATTAATTCATGAAAATTTTAGCATACGCTTTGCCGGGGAAGCTGAGATATTCAACGACCTTTGCCACCGGGAGAATACCGGCTTCGCGCGAAAAAAAAATTTTTTTGCGGACATTCACTCATGATTCTCACATTGACACTGTGCCCATTATTTTCTCGACATAGTGATAGCACACATTGCTTCTCAAAAGTCACAATTAAAGTTCAGATATTAGCATATTCCCCCATTCTTTTCTATCGTATTCTGTACGTATTTCCCCCAATTTTCTCGGAAAATCTTGTGGCCAAATCGCTTGGCCTCTGCTCAGGAGTAAATGCGATTATCCCATAAAGGTTTTTGGCCGACGTACGATACAAAACATTAACGTTACAATGTCTACAACACGCTCTTGAGCCGAGGAGATCTTCGATGTCGCGCCTAATCCCCCGAGCGGATTTTTACAGTAGCTTCTGACGAGACAACAGGCTTTAAAGTTTCCAAATCGCCTTTACATTGTTTTAGATTGTTGTTTGTCTCCATTTCTTGGCAGAATTCGAGATTTTTTTGCGTCATCCAATTTTTTCCCCAAATCTTCTTCTGACCTAATAGGGCCCTCTAAACCCATGTTTTTTGGGGGGATTGTGGCCAAGAAATCTTTTGCGAACCAACTTAAGTGTGTGTGACGCGCATCTCCACAGATTCCGGCGGCTTCTCTGAGTTTCATCCCGCTTTTGGGTGGGGGCCTGCTTCATTCCCACTTCCTTATTTTCGCTAATTTTTAATGCAAACAAGTTTTTGGCTAATTGAGACGAATTAATTCTGCAGCCGGATGAATTGCGATGACAAATTGGGAGGTTGGGGTGGAGATATAAAATATTGCGTATTAGATGACAAAACTAGGCGAAAATATTGTAAATTTGAGCGTTATTATCGGTAAATTTACCGTTTCCTTTCATCGGAACTTTTGTATCAGTCTGTCGGGAAAATAATGTGGATTCGTCGCGCTTTCGTATCTATTATGGTCGCCTTGGGAATTGTTCTTTTGGTCCGCAACTCCAAGGAAGCGGGATTTTGCTGCCGAAAATCCACATTATTTTCCCGACAAACTGATAACTCACAATACTCATGCCTCAAGGCAAATTATGCAACTACTATTACCACTTTCACAAAGTGCCTGGACACACAAAAATCCCCAATTTCTTGCACAGTGCACTCACCTTTTTTTCGTTGCGGCAGAACTCTACCCCTTTTCTGAACTCTCCCCCTTTTTCAACCCTCCCCCTTTTGAACACTCCCCCTTCAGAACTCTCCCCCTTTTTGAACACTCCCCCTTGAATGAACCGTCCCCCTTTTTGAACACTCCCCCTCATTTTGAAAATTGAAAAAATGAGGTGTGACATCTTATACGATGAAAATTTTTTTCAAATTGAAAAGAATAAGGTGTGACATCTTATACGAATTTTTTTCAAACTTCTTTTGGTGTTGCACTGTGCGTTTGAAATATCGCTGCGACGTAGGCTTTTCTCAACTGCGCCGCTGCGGTTTTGCTCAAAAATGCGCACAGTGAAATCGGCTTTTTTGAGGTGTGCACGGTGCGCAAAGCCAAAAATCCACAGTGCGTTGGCGACGAAGGTTCAAGATGCACTTTGCGAAAGCGAAATGATGTCCAGGCACTTTGTGAAGATGCTAATATCAGTCTGTCGGAAAAATAACGGCGGATCGTCGCGCCTTGGAATCGCCCATCATCGCTCTGCGACTGAAAGCCGCGGCTTGGGATTTGGTGGGCGACAGCGGCGAGACGAGACATTTTGCTGCGACAATCCGCCGTTATTTTCCCGACAAACTGATAGTATCAGTTCGTTTGCTAGTCCTGCGGTGATTTTTGGCGTTTGCACTCTGCAGGGAAAGCCAGGTGTTGAGGGACAGCCAAAAAAGCTGTTGCACGGTGCAAAAAACGAAATTGCACAGTGCAAGGTAAGCTTCTTTTTTTGCACAGTGCACGTCGCCAAAATCAAAAAAAATTGCTCCAGCGATTTTGTAAGCAAAATTATTTTCCCGACCGACTGATAGCGGTTGTTTAATTTGCTTTACAAAATTTTTATTGTGAGTTATCAGTCTGCCGGGAAAATAATGTGGATTTTTGCACTAATGTTATCAATTCAAACCATGCTTATTCAATTTGTATGTGTGACGTCGGGAGAAACGCTTTGAATTTTAGATTTACATAAATTAAACCGCTGTTCAACGAATGCATTTTCTAGCATGCATAGGGCAACGTATCAGACTTCTCATGCTTCATGCCAAATTCGAAAAAAGATGTCACGCGTTTTTTCAAACGTTCCCACCAAAAAATCTCAGTCGGTTTTACTTATCGCAATATTAGTCTGTCGGGAAAATATTGTGGATTTTTCGCAGTAAGAGGTATCGTCGCTGTCGCGCACCATATCCCTAGTCATCGCATGAATTATGGGCGATTCCAAGACGCGAAAATTCCGCATTATTTTCCCGGCAGACTGATAGATGGCTCATTCTTTTATATTCGGGCTCAAATTCAATTTTACATTTATCATTTATCGTAACCTTTTCTTTCATATTTTTCCACTTATACTACCTGTCATAAGTACAAAATTGAATCTCGGAACTGTGATAATTTGATATTCAATTTGG